ACGTGTGCTCTTCCGATCTCCCCAAAACCCCAAAACCCCAAAACCCCATGATGCAGGATGATTGCTTGAATTTTTAAGACAAAATTACTAAAATATAATTTATTAATAATATATACTTAGGCATATAATATAAATAATCTATTATGAGTAGTTTTAATCGCAATTAAGATCAGAGCGATGAAAATGAGCCCAAAAAGTCTAAATCTAGACCGAGTTTGCTTGCAGAGAGCTCCTATATCAATAATAAAGGATCGATTTCTTCTCAGAAAGACTTGATAGCAGATTAAATGCCAGGGGAAAAGAACACTCAGCAGCTTGGTAAAGTGAGACTTCCCGACAAAGATGACAAGAAAATGAAGCGATATTTGATTAAAATATTTGAGAAGCTAAAAGAAGGTCAAAACAATATGAGCTGTATGATTGAGAACAATGAATCTCCTGATTTGCTAAATGAACACTCTAATTCTGTCCAAGAACAGTTACTAAAAAAGGAGAATCAATCTTCGCTTACAGATTTTAATAGCTCTCTGATAATCAAGAATGGACGAGGGAAGGAGATAACTTCTGGACCTGGGGGATTATCAAACGGTAGAAATGGAATCAGTAACATCAAAATGCAATTTCATACTTAAAATAATTTCTATCCTTCTACTAAATCATCCTAAGCAATTTTTAAGTCACGGACTACAGGAAATTAACCTTATAATGCTAGCAAGCAGCAAAAAGCCAAAAAATATGAAAATACTGACAACTTAATCCAAGAGGAATCTGGAGAGGACAATTAAATCCAATCAGAAGATGATGAAGAGGATTTTCAACTTCCTGTAAATCACTAAAATGGAACTAATATTTAGCAACATACAGAAAAATTAAAAATCAACCGAGTGAAAAAACTAAAGAAAAATAGCAATAATAATTTAACCCCTAACTAGGGTAATAATATCTTAGCGAAAGGCGAAAACATAATAGATAAAAAGCAAAAATAATAATAACGAATGCAGAATTTGGAAGATTCACCCAGCTAATTACCAAATTAAATCTATCAAAACAACCCTCAAAATTTTTAAATTCCAATGTTTGTTGCAAATTAATCTCTAATCGAAAAAAATAAATATATCAAGAATGAGAACAGCTATCAAGAAATGCTTGATAGATCCATTACCAATTGAACACCAATTTTGAATCATTATTAAGATAACTCTAGCCTATCAAGAGGCACTAATAATCATAACATATTTCACAACAATAACTCGACATCTGTGCCAAGACCTACTTTGGCAAGCGAAATAAAGTTACTTAAAGAGATAAATGGACAATCTCCTTAAGGATTTAATAAAAAGATATCAAACCAGTTTATTCAAAACAACAACTTAGCTAACTTCATGTGGAATTCGAGTACTAACGATAATACAGAGCCAGTTACAGGAAAAATCAATCAGAGAGAGATATTATCTAAGCAGGGTAATCGACCAATGAGAGAATATAATCTTTTAGAAGGAAGTAACTAGCCCTAAGGAAGACCGATGACAAGAAGTAACTAAAGAAGACCTGTAAGTAGATAAGTTAATCAGTTTGATAACTCAGGCATTGGGGCATAAAAAATGCTTGTGCAGTAGCAAATGAGAAATACTCATTTTGGAGATGGAGGATTTGGATTCGGTTAAAATCATAGAGCAGATTTAAGTATTGATTCAGAAAGAAAACCATCTTGAAAAAGAGCTTAGAAACTAAAAGAACCTAACACAAAGCAAAATGAAAACATATTAAGAGAATCTTTGAAGAATGGTACAGGCTTATCAGCTCAAATTAATGGAATTATTTCAGGAGGAGGCAATACAGTAGCAGTTTTGACATAAAATAATGCACAAATCCTAAACAGATCAATTACATTTAATAACAAGAATCAAAATTTGGGATAAAGTCATAGTATTCCTATTAATAATCAGAATAATCATCACTATGAGTAGATATCTACTTAAGAAAGTAGTGGTTCTCATTTTTATTAGCCTTCTACTTTCCTTAACAAGTCAATTGAAAGCAGTTCATCCAGAGGCATTATTATCTCTGCAAAGTACTAGCAAAATGCTAATGCTGGAACCATAAATCAAATAATTAGATAAAATTCAGGAGATCAGGTAAAAAATGAAATAGAAATGAATAATAGTATTATTTAAGGGAAACAGAAAATAAATTTGACAATGGGGGGAACTTAATATGATAATAACTGCTTTAAATTAATCACTAGAGAAGATAATGGAAATTCATAGCATATCTACAGTCACTAATAGCAGTAGTTGCCACTAAAGCATTTCCAAAATATAAAAAATGGTAGCTTTAAGGAGTAAGCTGCTTCTCCTCATCTCAGCTCAATTTAAGAGATTGCTAATTAACAACCCTAAAACATGATATTTACTGCAGCTTCAAATACTTAAAGCAAGTTCTATTAATAGCAGAACAATAACTAAAGACAACCAATTTAGAGAGCTTCCCGAAACATAACAGGACATCTTTAATAATAAAATTCAGACTCAACAATAGAAGCTAAAAAGGATATTAGAAAGTAGTCATAGAACACAACCTAAGAGAAGTTTTACCCCCAAAGGTAGCAATACAATTCGACCAATACACAAAATAACGTTGCTTGTAATAGTAATCCATAGGTTTTCAATTAAAATTTAAATGGAGGTACTAATATATAGCAACTCAAATAACACTCTCAATAAAAGGGATTTAACATCAAGAATGAAGTTAAAATTTCATTAGAGTTTGTTAATCAAAATGGGTAAACTTAGCAGGATAATGAAGGAGTTTAGAATGTTAAAAGGAGGTAATCAAATAAGTCAAAAAATCATCGGATGAAAGATGGAGCAGAAATGATCAAAGAAGAGCAGCATGAAGAAATCAGTGATGATGAGTTGGATCAAAATAAAGGCAGCATATCAAAGCCAATCAAGGTAAGGATACATGAAAAAAGCATTGATGATTACTAATCCCAAGATTCAATCTAAGTTTCATCACAACCTATATTAAGCTAAACTGGCTAGATCGAAAGACCCAATAATAGATTAGGTTGCAGCAGAGCTTTTCACAAAGATGTTTTCAAAGAATCTGTAAATGAATATAGCAGTTTACCCTAGAATTATCATCCTAATCAATGTGGTGCCCACTCAATGCCAAGAAGTAATAATCATAACAATCAGAGTTTTCAGGAAAATGACCAAAATGTCTCTAAAACTTCCAGCAGTGCTACAAGTCTCACAATTAGTAAGCAAGGGATATCTGGATCAATGCAAAATTAGCAAAATACCTACTAAGGGTCATCTATCAGCCCAAAACCTAATAAATGGCAATAGAGCACTAAAGACACTAACACTTCAATCAACATCTCGATGACACAAGGGGGTAAATTTTAAGAAATGCAAAGGGACGTGAACATAATGTATTTGGGGTAAGATTTCACCAGCAGTAATGCTCACAACAATTATAGAGCTATCCAGTAAAAGAAGAAGGCTTCGGCTGGGATAAAGCTTAACCCAATACATAGGATTCCTGGCAACGAGAGTTAATACACATCAGCGAATAACTAAAATTTCCACAATCAGTTTTGAGAGTGAGTAGTAGGAATCAGATTAGATCATAGGTTCATTCACAAAGGAGATAGCGTAATAATTGTTTGTTTATTTATTCGAATCTCATCAGGAGTCATTCTGAAGGGAAAATTTTCAATATATAAACTTATAAGGTCACTTAATATCAATAAATAAAACTTCTACTGATATTCAAAGTCTTATAATCACAACTTAAACTTAACTTATAGAGAGAAGGAATAATTTAGATATATATTCAATGTTTAATACTATAAAGTCTATACTTCAAAGCATAATATACTATACATACACACTTTTTGAAATTGAGGCAGCTTAATTTATCTTTTTGCCCCATTTTCTTACATTTCATACATTTCAAAGTTTCATTAATCACTTTCTTCTTCTGCTTACTACTCCTTAATAAGTCCATTCTTATTTTGGTAATTTGAATCTGAAGTTTTTGTATAAGACTGGAATTGCACCTTTTAATATTATGGCTATTAGTTGCTTGGCCTCCTTAATACTATCTTTTCTGTAGTTATAACTTGTTTTTTCTAAGGTTGAGGATTTTGTGAATTGGAGTTTACTACAGCAATATTTCTAGATACTGGCCTTCTAAATGAGTTTGAAGTTTAAGGCTTGCTGACTTAATTATTCCTGGATACTTTCTAAGTCAAATTTACACTTGAAGGATTCAAAAGATATATATCCTCAGGTCCTAGATTAATTCCATCCACATCCTGTTTTTTAGCACTGTTTGTAATGCTTTCTACTATTTCATTATTATTCTTTTTCTTAAGTTCAACTTGACCTATGATAGACTGGTTTTTGCTTTGATGACTAGTTTAGGGTTTTTTGTTGGATAAAACAACCTTAATTGTTTTATCTTATTTCTATAAAACCTTTTGCTATTTTATTTTCTCACTGCTTCTATTTTCTTCGTTGATAGAAATCTATTGATCATTTGGATTAAAATTTTCCCATTTGTTGGTCATATTAGGTGTATGCAGGAAGCAAGGTGTCATAGCCTTAGATTCCTAAGTAGATTAGACGTTTGTATTTATATTATTGTTGTTTATAACGAATATATGCTTGATTGTTTCAGAGTTGTTATGAATCTATTCTTTCATCTTCTCGATTTAACGAGCTGAATCAATATTGGATGATTTATTTGACTGAACCTTTGGAGTAGTCTTATCATTATAAAAGCTATGCTTAAACCCATTGATTTCTTCTAGCAGCTAAGCTTTGCTTAAGCCTTATAGCCCATTACTTGGTTCTAAGGGATTTCCATTAGGTCCTATGTTGAATAGAGGCCTTTTAGGTGATGCTTCTGACATCAATTTATCGAGGCTAGTTGTATTTGGCCTATTAAATGCACTTATGTTATTCATGTAAGGTCTCTCTTTCATTTGATTGTAGACTTGTTAATCATTGCTATAAGCTTCTTAAGAGCCATGTATTATTGGATTTCCAAGTTTACTTAGAGGATGCTGCTAATATTGCTGAAATTATCTTTTATCCTAATCAATTGTTTAATATTTGCTGTTATGCTAATCTTGATCATTTTCGTTTATTTATTGCTTATTTATTATTTGATAATAACTATTAGCATCTAATTGCATTTATCCAGTATTAAGTCCTGGATTAATACTTAAAAAGTTTGCTGCTAATTTTTGATTTTCATAGTGATATATGGGCTAAAGGTTTCTTGTCGCAGAACTTGTTTTAATCCGTCTTGAGTTACCTTTTTTAAACAAATGCAATTTCGGCCCTTTAAATGGATTTTCAGGATCAATGACATCAACTGGTTTTTAAGGAGATTAATCGCTAATGCTACTCAAATCTCTCATTGGAATATTTCGATACCCTCCCTCTCTACTTTTACTTTACTAAAATGGTGAAATATGCGCACTCTAAGGATATACTTGCTAAATTTGAGGAATTTGGAATTTTAGGTTATTAGATGGTTCATAATTAGCCTGAAATTGTGATGAAGGTGGTTGCTAAGATTACATCTATGCTTACCACCATTATATATGAGGATTTGTGATATTATTTTAAGACCTAATAGCACTTCCATTGCTACTTGAATCGTCAAAATTTTAGTTTAAATTTGATTTAATTGGTAAGTAGTTCTAAGAAATATTATGATCTGCCTGCTGAAATAAGCTTATGCTTCCTGTAGGATTGATGCCAATACCATTCATTCTCTAAAACTGTTATTTCATTATTACTTATTGAGGATTATTGATCTTTTGATTACTTCTCACTGCTAATATTCTATTATTATTTATCTACCCCTCTTAGCCATCTGTAAAAGAGTTATTTATTGGATTCAAACTTTCAAAAGATAATTCTTGCAATTTCTTATCAGCACTCATCTCATATTTTCTAATATGCTTTAAATTATCATCGAACTATTAAACTTAAAGAGATGAATCTTCATTTTATAGCTAAGTCTGGTATATCCCATTATTAACATATGGTGATGATTGAAAGTTTTTAGTATTCAGTCCTTTTAAGGTAGAACTGTATATTTTTGAGGCTGAGTTAGACTGGTTAAAGTTACGAGATTTTCCATTCTAGTTCATAAACGGACTGTTGGTTTTTATGATTTATTGCTTTGAGAATTTCTAAATAGTCTTTTCAATCCTATCGCTTATGTAATGATTTGGCCCTTAACTGTTGTTTGTTTAAAGATTAGAATTCATAATGCTTTGCTTTACATTTATTAGAGGCGTTTTTACAACTTACTACCTTCTTATATCTACTTGATTAGCATGGCTTCCACCACCTGTAGTAGAATCTGATATTTATTGCGAAATTAGAGGGATTATTGGTCTGTGATCCTGCTATGTCTAGTTCTATCATTTTAATACTTTTTCAATCAGTTTAATATTGTCATTAAGTTTTGGTCTCCTACTCATAAGCTAATTGACGCTCCCTCCATTAAACTATGTGCTATCATTCTGTTAAAGATCATGATAATTGAAATAGTTTTCAATTTTCTGCCCTTAGTTATCAAAATTTATAGAAGCAGCATCATGATTAATACTTTATCTTTCGATAAATATTTTTCGGCCATCTGAAATTTTGTTGTCGAATGAATTAGATTAGTATGCTGCTTGTAGTTTGTACAAATTCTTCTTATTCACTTATTATTTATCAAAAATATTCATTAACTTAGTGCTATCCATTGATAAAATATAAATTAAGATTTATTATTTCCTTCCCTATCTCCCTCACTTTTACCAAAATATAGTAATTGGGGTTTTGGGGTTTTGGGGTTTTGGGGTTTTGGGG